TAGGTCTCCGAAATGGTAGTCCAGAATGTCATATAACAAGATCAAAATGTCGAGGACCAAAGGTCACCAATGTCGGAGATAACAGAGTCCAGATGTAACCGGTGTCCAACTGTGATGCAGCCGAGTATCAACCTTAACAATCTCCAAGTCTCCAATCAGGTAAGTACCACAGTCTCGTATCACCGAAATCCAACCCTGGTCTCTGTCCAACTGGATAGTCTCCAATCTGAAGAAGAAGAAGAAGAAGAAGAAGAAGAAGAAGAAGAAGGAGGAAGAGGAGAGAGAGAGAGAGGGGACTGGCGAGGGAGAGGAGGAGAGACCCTCCAAGCTCCCGGTACCTCAGGCGGCAATGGCCGCAGTGCTGGCTCAGCCGCCCTGCTGCTGCTCCGCTCGCTGCTGCGCTAAGCTGCGCTATGCTGCGCTCCTGCTTCAGCCCCTGCGCTAAGTTTAGCGCATCAAACAGTACACTGGTACTGACCATGCCGTGCCGGTAGAGTTCCGGTAGGCCGATCCCCAACTGAGGCAGGATACCGGTACTTATACTGGTAGGCAATGGTCTGGCCTCAATGCTGCGAGGCCAGGCCAGACCCTGGACCGTCCAGATGGACGGKTCAGCCTCAATCRGYRRKCGGCAGCTTCAAGAGCGCCGCCAGGCCCAAACGAAGTGTCGTTTGGGCCTACCCGATGGGTGCTGGTCCAAAATCAGGCCTTTAGGRCCTGTAACCCCAAAAGGTCGGGCCTTTAGGCCCTGGTGTGTCCCTCCGGCCCTAAGTCGGGTCCGGTAGGACCCGTGTGAGTCGAAGATGTAACACTGATGCAGGTGTGGAGTACAGCGCAGATTCAGATGATTCACTTATCCAACCAGGCAGAGATACTTCGTATGCCCTGTTCTTTCTGTTGGGCCCAACAGGCCCTGTAGATACTCAATATCATCCTTATACTGCCTGGTACATGCTATCTGACGTGGCACATAGCCACTTCCCACATCGATTCTTGGTTCTTGATAACGCTATCCAGCCTGCCTATCAAGAGGCGTAGGAGAGAAACCTACTCCTATTCGCAGAACACTGGACCACCTACTCTAGTGTGACCAGTTCCTGACACATCACACTTGGGTCATCAGACTCTGAAGGCTCAGACCTGACATCTATGACAACCCAGGTCCAGACTTCGACTCGTGACCAGATCAGCAGCAGTCACCTTCAGAGGGTCAGAGAGAGAGAAGGTGGGGGACACACACATGCATGAAGGTTCAGGGAAAGGAGGTGCTTCTCTCTTCTTGAGGATGCCGCCGATGATGCTCCACGACGCTCCGCACGCTCCAGGTAAGTAGACTTCGCCACTTCTTCTTCGGCCTGCTTCCCCCACTATCAAACCCTTCTTCTCTTCCTCCCTYCTTCACTCTTCCTCCATCACCACTTCKTCTCGCCGGCCTTGATCAGACCAGCGCTATGAGTGTAGCGAGCATCTGCTCCGATACCAAAATTGCATGGGTCCTGGGGACCATCTCACGCAGATGTGTACATGTCATGCATCATCTTCACACGCAGTGATCAATAGACTCAACCATAGACAAAGGTAGAGAAGAAGAGGACCGAGTTTCACAGCTTATATTATCAGAAATATGATTACAAAGTGTTTCAAAGTTCCCCTGAGTCCAGCGCTCATCAGCGCAACCCCAATCTCTTGTCAACTCATCAATATAACTTCCAGTGAATCAGCGCTACTCCTGCAGATAGTCTCCAAGTCATCAATGTGGTCACTACTCATCAGCGCCACCTCTGCAGATCACATCCAACTCAGGTATCTTCCATAGCCGAACCTTGAATGAACACTCTCAGCCTCAGTCCCTTACTCGTACGATGCATACACATTCTTCACTCATGAGGATCTACTCTGGATGCTACTCATAGCTACATACTAACCCTCTACTACTAAGGCTAACTCGCTGGGCAGCTATGGCTGCATCACTTCCAGCGTACAGGCTTCTTCCTTCAATCAGCGCATCTTCTTACCTCCAGCGCTGCTGCTCCTGACTCAACGCACAAGTGCACCAGCACTTCCACGTATTGCAGCCAGTGGAGATCTGGCGAGGAATGAGGCTGGCAGCTTTCTTTATAGTGCTGGCCACTCCTCGCAGGGTCTGCATTGGCTCAATTCAGCCTGTCCTTTGTCCCAGACCCTGCATTGCATGTGTCCCAGTATAGTCCCAATGAGGTTCGACTGCTGCTGGGGCCTCTCGGCCTAGATTTGGACTTCAAAGTCTGGATCTGGACTGACCCCTTGACTTAGACCAGAACTGGGACTGTGCCTATTGACTTTACTTTCGGACAGGCACAATTCTAAAAGAACAGACACATTCCTTTGCACTAACAGGTACACTTTTTGCACGTACAGACACACTCTTACCCGAACAGACATGACATACACATCTCCTGATGAACAGGTAGGTCTTTTGACAATGCCCTTTGCCTTAGATTTAGATGTGCCTGTTGATAGAGAACTTGACCTTTGACCTGCTTTCACGTTTCTGAGCTCTGGCGAGATACAAGTCTTTTGACAATGCCCTTTGCCTTAGATTTAGATGTGCCTGTTGATAGAGAACTTGACCTTTGACCTGCTTTCACGTTTCTGAGCCCTGGCGAGATACCTTTCCACAATGCTTTACTTTTACAAGGCCTGCGCTGCTTTACTTTTACAAGGCCTGAGGCTTATATCGGGTAAAGGCCCTTTTACCCCGTATGTTGTATTTGTATTACAAGGTACATACATTTTTTTTTCAGGTTAATAAGGCAGTATGTGTGGGGCTGCTGCAGATACAGACAATATGTGGCAGCCAAATTGCTGACCCCCACAGCCAGAAAGCCGCTTGGTACGGTAGGACCGAAAACAGTCACAGGTTATGAACATGTTTTAAGGATCGAAAACGGTCACAGGTTGTGAACAGGTTCAAGACTTGCTACGGATTTATGCGGTGAATGCGGCTCAGCCGACCTTCTGATCATTCCTGAGCTCTCAATTACCTAGCAGCAGGAGTCCGCCGCTCGGACCATTTACCGATTGCATGTTACCCTTGCTAGGGAGCCATGCTAATGTTCTCTGCATCATTTGAGTTTTTTCTATTTTTGTCTCAAATTGGGAACTTCTAGCATTTGCTGATGTACTCATGATTGTCCTCTTGTTTCCAATTTGCAGGAGCAGCTAGTGGTTGCAAAAAAGAGTGATGCCGCATTTCGAACAGCGCTGATTGGGACACTCTCCCTGGGCATGAATATCCTTGATGCTCTACGACCACAGATTTTCTCCCACACAAACTCTTGTTATAGTCTGAGGATGAGGGTGTCGGATGCCTCCGATCAGAGTCTGCAGCGCGCAACGGGCACTTCATCTTGGGAATCGTTGGGCGCTGAAGATCCTTGGCATCTCACCTCGGGCTCTCCTCGTGGCATTAGCAGCACAGAATCAGGGGGAGGTGTCTTGTTTGATGGGAAGGGTGGTGAGTTTAATGGAAACCTGGAAAATGCGGAGGACATGAGGGAGGCATTGACGGGACCGGGTGGAGAGCTGGAGGCCCTGCTGAACGTTTATTTTGACATGTTTCGACTGGCAAGCTCCACAGATCGAACCACATACGGCACGGTTGTGGCGCAGCTGGCAGATTTCCTCGCACATTGTGTTGTGGCTCAGGGAAGGGTGGCGGACATCGTGTTGCTGCAGCGATCCTCCCTTGAGCGGATCGGACAAGCTTTTCCTGGAATAAAGAAGCTCAAGTTCGTCCTGTCTCTTTTGGATGAGTTTGAGGCAAGCACTCTCAGTAAGCAAGGGAGAGAACCAGCATGCCAGAATGGTGTTGCCCGGGAAATCAGTGGCTTTAATAGCGCAGCAACATCAAGCCAGCCCACTGGCAGGCTTGCTAGTTCCATGGTGCAGCAAGTCCCTGTCGGCGAAGTTTTGGCCGTTAGAAAGCGGCTGATTCACTTAAGTGGGTGGAATCCTTCCCATATGGCTCAAATGCTTGATACTCAGTGGCCATCGAGCAGACTGTTTTCCAGAAGGGAATCGTTGACTCACTCCATAGAGCCATACACTGAGGTATGTAAATGCAGCCAAGTCGCCACTGACCATTTGCTGTAATATCCTGACTTGTCAATCGAAGTCATCAGTGTGTACGGTTGAGCCAACCAAACTTGACAGTCAGGCACTTATGGAGTGTGCTACATGACCTTATTAGGTAGGTTACAAGGGTCCCTTCATGGCGCTTGCGGAGCGTGCTACATGCACGAGTCAGCATGACCATAAACCACCAGTACTTGTGACCCTTTCTTTCCTGAGCTTGGAAATGCCCTGCGAGGCTGGCCCCCCTTAAAAAGAACTAGCAGGTGTGTTTTCATTTTTGGCTGGCGCCACCAGTCATTTAGCTCCAGTAGGCGGCGCCCCGAAAGTTGCAGCGTATGTATGGCCGCGTCGGAGACGAATGGATGGGAAACATACTGGAGGTTCGAGTTACAAGGGCGGGTACGAGGGGTTTCGTTTTTGGCTGGCGCAACCAGTCATTTAGCTCCAGTAGGCTGTGCCCCGAAAGTTGTGGGTCATGTATGGCCGCGTCAGAGACAAATGGATGGGAAACGTACTGGTGGTTCGAGTTACAAGGGCGGGTACGAGGGGTCTCATTTTTGGCTGGCGCCATGAGTCATTTAGCTCCAGTAGGCCGTGCCCCGAAAGTTGCGGCGCATGTATGGCCGCGTCGGAGACAAATGGATGGGAAACGTACTGGTGGTTCGAGTTACAAGGGCGGGTACGAGGGGTGAGCAGGGGACGGTCCGATGGCTACTAGCTGAACCCAATACCACACTGTATGAAATGAAGAGAGCTGGGTGGTGATGTTCATTTGGTGGTTTATCGTGCCCAGGAAAGGAGGAAAACAGAGGCCAGAGAGCTACCAGTCTTTGGAGCCACATCCCTTACTTGGTAAGGGATACGGTTTTCCCAAACCTTCACTCGACCCTCCACCAAACTTCCACTGAGCCTTGGGTAAGGCATGTGGTTTCACGGAACCTCGAGCCTCCACCGAGCCTCCACCGAGCCTCCACTGAGAAACCACTAAGCCTGAACTGCAGCCTCTTGGTGCAGGCCCGGAATTCAGAGACGTTGGAGGCAGAGGGCACTTGACCTGCGTTCAAGGTTGCTGTTTCTCTTTCTTTGGCTTGTGGAAAGAGGAAGGGCTGAAAACAGGTCTCTTGTTTCTTGTCACTGCCGACTACAGCTGGCAGCTCCTTAGCTCTCGTCTCCCCACATAAATTATGAACTTAAACCTTTTTTCAAAAACGAAAGCACCTGAATGTTATTGCTGTGTACAGCTTGTATTTTGACAGGTCATTTTGAATGGAGGGAGGGAAGTCTGACCTCGCCCGTGTTTTCCTGATGCGTATGTGTATGTCCAGATTGTAGATAGTGCTAGGTGTGTGTGGCAGTAGGGGCATGCGAAGCCGGTCTGTCTGAGTATCTAGATAGTAGATAGTGTTAGGTGTGTGCGGCAGTAGGGGCATGTGAAGAGGGTCTGCCTGAGTGGTAGTGTTTGCTAGTAAATTGCTACTCATTTGCTGCATTTTTGAGATATGAGCATTATTGCATTTGGCAGTCGATCCTCTTTCGTTTTTATGAACACGGTGATTGGCCAATGCAGGACATGGAAGGGCCACTTCAAGAGAAGATATAGAAGCTGGGGCATGTAAATGGGGTCCTCCTGAGGGGCAGTGTTTGCAGTTCATTTGCTGCCTTTTGGAGGTATGGGCGATATTGCATATGACAATCCCTGTTTTCATGAACATGGTGGTTCGCCAATGCAGGACATGGAAGGAACATCACAAGAGAAGGGGGAGAATACTGAAGATTCCCTGCCAATGATACTGAAAGACATTGATCGGGCGTCTGCTCGTTTGCCGGCAATTCTTCTTCTGCTAGAGGATGTGCTCATTGGTCTGACTGCTGTCAATGACACAGGAGTTCGGGAAGCAGCCTACAATCTGCTGTACAGAATACTAGCCCAGAATAACAGGTGAAGTTCTGTACTTGAAATTGCACACTCTTCTACGTACAATCTATCTTAACGTACGCACTCAGTTGTGTACTTTTCGGCAACCTGTTGCTCAGACGTAGACCAGATTAAAGTTATTAAACTCAAATGCGCGGTAGATAGAATGCACCCTGGTGCAGAAGCGTGTGAAGCACATCAAGTTATTAACATGAACTCTCATTTGTTCGAGTATTTGAGCATTAAAAAAGCAGCTGTCGTATTGGAATGGTGCATTTGCAGAGAAAAGATTGGATACTTAACTGTCAGGTCTGTTCCGTAACTCTCATTCAGTGAAAAAGTTCCATGCGCAGGTTTGTAGCAAAGACTGAGCAGTCCGATGCAGCAGAAGTCCGATCGCTTAAGGTGCAGATGGTTGACCTGTCAACAGCTACCGTCTTCACCTGAATAGAACGCCCGGTCATTATCGCTGCATCTGGACCGAAAGTTGTGCCAAATGCAGCTATAATGACCGGGCGTTCTATTCGGGTGAAGACGGTAGCTACTTGCCTGGTTGCTGCTGAATGGTACAGAGTCTACAGACGTGTAACTGCCGATGAACAGATCATGTGTTCAATCCATACTTGCAACCCTACCGCGCGCTGCACCGTCCGGTGCGCCGAGGTCTGGTCCGGGACCTTCCCGTCTGGCTTACAGGCCCGTATCCATACCATACCAGACTGCACCGTGCCACATGCTGTCCGGTAGGGCCATCTCCTGTCCGGTGCGGTTTTGCACGTGAACTGTGCGGAGAGGTCCTACCCACGTCCAGTCTTGTGCGGAATCTCTTTTTTTTTTTTTTTAATTCATTTCAAAAGCACTGTGGGGCGGGAATGGTACCCGCCCTGCAGTACTTGCAGATCCACCATTTGCCATCCTTGGATGGATCTTTCCCTTCGTGGCAATGTCGCTTGATCATAGCGGAAGTGTACCGGCTACTCGTCATTTTGACCTGCACACAGGGAAAACCATTGTGCAGAATCCAGGAAATCAGCATCATCCAACATCGTCTCTGGAGAACACCCCCTATCCACCCGTCCTGACCCGCTGGACGCCCCCAACACCGCATGAAAGTGGAACAAAAAAGGGGGAAAAAAGCAAAAAAAAAAAAAAAAAAAAGGGCAACTAACTGCCTTTTCCAGACAAAACAATTGGCATTTGCTATGATTGCAACTGATGATGAGGAGGAGGAGAAGGAGGTGTGCGCAACAAGGAGGAGGAGAGATGGAGGGGAAGGAGCGATGGAGGATAGTTGGAGGTGACGAGGACAAGAGATGGGGGACGTGATGAGGAGGTGAGAAGAAGACAGCGTCAGCCTTCAAACTCCAAACTTTCTGTTTGAAGAAAAGGTCGGCATTTGAACTTTCCAAAACCCGTGACAAGGCGTGACACGGAGGAGGAGAGATGGAGGAGCGGGAGGAGGTGACAAGGAGGAGGGGGAGGATGAGGAGGAGAAGAAGGGAGGACGGAGCGGAGGAGGACGGCGAGACAAAAGGGGAGGAGAAGATGGATGGAGAGGAGATACCGACAGTGTTCTAACTTTCAATTTTCAAGTTTCCGCTGAAAAAAAAAAAAAAAAAAAAAAAAAAAAGACGAGATGACAAGATGTGGAGAGGAAGGAGGAGATGTAGGGGGAGGACGAGACAAGGGGGAGGAGGAGATACCAACAGTGTTCCAACTTACAAGTTTCCGCAGAAAAAAAAAGAAAAAAAAGAAGAGGTGACAAGGTGTGACAAGGAGGACAGACGGAGGAGGAGGAAGGGGGTCACAAGGAGGAGACATAAGAGGGGGAGGAGGTCTCGAGGATGTTATGTGCCTGTATCAGAGCTGCGGCCGCGTGCATCTACGGGATTAATTGGTTGGCCATCAACCACTGGCCATATAGTTGATGACCAACCAATTAATTTTGTAGATGCACGCGGTTGCATCTCTGATACCAACTGTTATGTGCCTGATTGAAACGAGATACAGCATGGCATCCACACGTTCCCATACACATGCGCAACGACCAGAGATCTTGGAGAGGGCAAATCACACCACATGAGGTGAGAGAATACACAGCTGGAGGACTCAAAACCGGAAATAGAATCAAAATTGATCAGTTCTTATTATTATCCCGCTCCCTCCAGCCAATCAACGCACCGTTTTTTCCCAAGAATCTCAACCACACTATCGACACCCACGAACCAACTAAGAACAGAGTTTCATCAAGTAAGGGAGACTTCTTCTTCCTCCCAACCTCGAGCTCACAGCTATGGCGCAGGCCTGCACCCAACCTATCCAGCCCATCAATCGCCACCAACCATCCTGAACCCAACTTGCTGCTCAGCCGTCCAAACTTGATGCCCACTGTAGATAAATTGTCCGCTCAACAGGGGAGGGTAGCTCCCTGGATGAAGAAAAAAAACACCAACTTGAAGAAGAACAAGATGGGTGCCACTTCGAAGTATACTTCCAGCAGAACTTTGATGGCAGCTCCCTGTCGAACCCCAACAAGCACAGCAAGGAGGAGGCACCTACAGATCCTAGGGCCTGAAGCTCAGCGCGGCCAGATGTTGGGCAGAGATGGCCACAGCTATGGCCGCTAGGCCTTCGGCTAGTGGAAACTGCTTTACGCCAGTAGCAAATAACGCAGCAGCATAACGCCACCTCCAGCAAACGCTTGTGAAAAAAAATGACGAGCAGAACCCGTTTCCCTTTGCTCAACACTTTTGTTTTCCCTCGACCCTCAAGGACTCGACAGGCGACGACAGCCTACAGCCTAAGACAGACAGCCTACTGCCTAGGACCGAATCTAGACAGAAAGTAGGGAAAAAGAAAAAGCCACCGTGCGTGCTGAAAACGAATGCTAAGAAAAAGGACAAAAGGAAAGTTCAAAGGGCCTAAGACCGGCCATCAGAGACTACTACAGCCAAATGTAGGGATCGAGCCCAACAAGGCTCAAAAGAAACAACTACGGCAAACATATTACAGGTCATGGGATCAAGTCCCGGAATACTCAAGATTGGGACTCAGCAGACAAAGTTAGTGTACAGCCCGCAAAGGAAACTGCAATTCATTGCAATGAGGACAAATAGACGGGGAGGAGGTCACGGCGAGGAGACATAGAGGGGGAGGAGGTCATGAGGAGGAATACTCAAGATTGGGACTCAGCAGACAAAGTTAGTGTACAGCCCGCAAAGGAAACTGCAATTCATTGCAAAGAGGAAAAATAGAGGGGGAGGAGGTCACGGCGAGGAGACGTAGAGGGGGAGGAGGTCATGAGGAGGAGACATGGAGGGGGAGGTGACGAGGAGGAGGAGGAGGAGGAGGAGGAGGTAACAGCGCGTAGATGATATGGATGGCTTCCGAAGTTCGAACTTCAAAGCTTCCCTTCAGAAAAAAAAAGATGATGACGCGGTGACGAGGCGGTGATGAAGAGGAGGAGAGCGATGTTACAAGGAGGGGAGACAGAGGAGGAGGTGAGGAGGAGGAGGAGGACGAGGAGGAGGACGAGGACCCCGCCATTTGAGATTCAGGAAAAAAAAGAAAGAAAAAGGTACGAGGCCGTGATGAGGAGGAGAAGAGACGGAGGACGGCAAGGGATGGAAGAGGAGGATGACAATATGGAGGACAAGGATGGCGATAGATGGAGGAGGAGGAGGAGAGATGGAGAAAAAGGATATGATGAGGAGAAGGAAAGGTGGAGGAGGGGGAGGAGAAGGAGGTGACGAGGAGGAGGGGAAGGAGGAGGAGGAGGAGGAGGGGAAGGAGGATGCGAAGAGGAGAAGGAATGATCAACGTTTCGAGTTTTCAATGAGGTCGTGATGAGGAGGGGAGATGGAGGAGGAGGAGGAGGAGGAGAAGGACGCGACGAGGAGGAAATATGGAGGACGAGGGATGGAGGAGGAGGACGACCAGATATGGAGGAAAGATGGACGGGGAAGTGAAGAGGAGGAGATACCAACGCTACTCGAAGCTTACTTTAGAAAAGGTGACAAGACCTCGACGAGGAGGGATGGAGGAGCAGGACGAGGAGGAGGAGAGGAGGAAGGTGACGTGGAGGAGAAAGTGACGAGAGAGGAGGAGAAGAGATGCAGGAGGAGGCGAGGATGATGAGAGATGGAGGAGGTGGCGTGGAGGAGGAAGTGACGAGGAGGAGGAGATGGAGGATGTGATGAGGAGGCAAGTTTCCAACTTCCCATGATATGGAAAAAGAAAGAAAAGACGGCACCGTGACGAGGAGGAGGAGAGATGAACGGGGAGGAGGAGAGGAGAGGAGGAGGGGTAGGAGGAGGTGAGTTGAGGGAGGGCAGGAGGGCTGGTGAAGACTGTCCTTGGAGGAGGGTTGAAGTCGGTGATGGTCGCTCCGGAGCTTAGCCTCGGTGATCGTGCAAACGCAGTGGCCCAGGGGGAGGTCGGCGCTGCTCGTAGCGGACGACTGACGGCTCTGCTTCCTGAAGTGGATTGGAGGCGGCTGCAACAATGAGGAGCAAACGGCCCGCCAAAGCCCTGCCAGTATCAACCTGCGAAGACTAGGACCCCTCCTACCCCCCCACCCAGAACGAATCAAAGGGATATAAGTTGCTTAACGCTTGCGGGCTTGAGTGCATGCTTTCCCCTGTCCATTTCTTCTCTATCTCCCGGAGCTGCTCACTCCCTACCTGCATTGCTTGGGCTCTTTCTGGGGTAAAACAGTTTCTTTGGAGATACAAATCTGTCCCTTGTCTGTTTCTTTAGAGATACAAATCTGTCCCTGTCTGTTTCTTTGGAGATATAACACAGCTGTCCCTGTCTGTTTCTTTGGAGATACAATTAAACAGTCCCTCTGTTTATTTGGATGTTACGAATCTGTCGTTGTACTGCTCCCCGCCTAGATGGCCTTCCATCTTCGTGTTGCGCCAGAAGTTGCGGGTTCAGATCCCATTTTTTTTCCCGGGGCCGCCTGATGTCCCTCTCGGCTCCGGTGTTTCATACGATACCAGACAAAAACAACGCCACAAGAAGCATGGAAGGAGGGCAAAAGAAATGATTGGGACAAGAGTAGAGCAAAAAGACAAAAGAAAAAAAAGGAAAAAGGAATGTAGGAGGGAAGCTGCAAGAATAGACCTGCTACTGTTCTAAATTTTGTTGTGGTCATGCTTTTTCTCTCTCTGTGTGCGTAATGATCAAACCGTTCAATTTCAGCAGTGAGGCGTCGGTGGCAAATATTGCTCTGTGTGTACTGTCGCGAATAAGGGACCCTGACATGGCCATAGCCAGAAGTGCCATATGCCAAGCATCTCGGTTTTACCATTATTGCCCAGGTAATGAGAGATATTTTGCGCACAGTTTTGCAGACCCCTGTGTTCTTGAAAATCAGACCTTTTCAGTTTACACCAAGGCTGCAAACCCGGTAGGACCAGGGGCCCCTCTCCCAACTGGAACCTGACCGGTCCTACCGGCCGGTCGACCAGTTCCTCCCCGGTTGGCAGTAGCGCATCATTTTTTTTTATTTTTATTTTTTGGTTGTTGTTGTTGTTATAGAGGCCAAGGACTAGACCCCCAGTGATCGCTGGCAGCGGCAGCCGGTGGTGGTGCTGACAGGATAGGCCACCTTCCCTACCCTTCCCCACGTTAATGCTCCCAGCGCACCCCCTATCCCTACTATCCTACCTCAGTGTGACCAGCACTCAGGACCATCACCCTACTAGTATCAAGGGCAACTTGGACCAGACAGCAGTGACAAACACCCCCTAACACTATCACCGCCACCCCCCTTTTCAAAGTTTTTGGGCGGAAGGTTAACATTTGCAGAAAGCCAGGTACGTTGTTGTCAATGTCTGCTGAAGCCTGTGGTTGCTGAAACCCCTCCACCAACACCCTCACCAAACCCCCAACCCCCGACCCTCAATCCCTGAAATCCCCCCCCCCCTCCAATCCCCCAAACAAAACTTCTCTGTTGAAAAAAGTTTTCTTTGCGGATTCGGGGAGATCTCGGCGAGCGCAGTCCAACCATGTTTTCAAAAAAAGAAAAAAAAGAAAATTTACCCACTTTTGGGCCCGACCGGAATTCCGGTTGGACCCCCGGGGGTCCAACCSCCCGGTTGCTGGCACAGCCATGGTTTACMCCCCCCCCCCCCCCCTGCCCCACCCCCGGATTGAAAACATGTTACACTTTACAACCTATGAGAAGAGAGCCTTCTATTGTGGGACCAGTTCCTATGGAAATCAGATTTTTTTTTAATTTATTTTTTGGCAAAATGATTCGAGAATCCCACTTTATTAGACTTCTTTTTCCTTCTTCAGGAAAAGAAAAGCAGAAATTTCAAAAAAGGTCAAGAAACAAAATTCTTCCGCACTTCGACTATATGGGTTCTTCTATTTTGAGACCGCCCCGTGGTTTACCCCCACCGGTATGACGCAAGGACAGATTTGATTGCTATAGCTACCCCTATATATAGTAACAGGGTTACAGGGGTTACCGGCATGAATACCGTGTACAGCAATGGGGGGAATGCATTAGGGGGGCAGAAAGCTGTCTCGTTTTTTTGAGGTGGAGACTCAGAGACTTGCTAGCCTTTGATGTGTGCTGAATGCAAACACCCGCAATCAGACTCGCTCTCATTCACACTTTTCATGCATGTAAACAGGTTGCGCAGTAAACTGGCGACAAGCACCCACTCAGAACTCAGAGATATGGAAACCAAACACAGTCCAGACACAAGTTCACTTCAAATGGCTATGGTGGCACAGCGCCTGTACAACTCTCTGCGTACACACACTCAGGATCACCCTGGATATCCCACACGTGATACTCTGTACACACATACACACACACACACACACACACACACACTACACTCTCCTAACAGCTATGGCGGCTATGGCCGCTGCTATCCTATCGCTATGGCTAAGCTCCTTCTCGCCCACTTCGTCTTCGGGCTCACTGCAGACCACCGCGCACAAGTCGCTGTGGCAGCGCTTCCGCATGGCTCATGCAGGAATGAATGAATAGCTGGGCGCTGCCTCTTGATTTATACTTCTGTATTTCGTTGGTCTGCCCCTTTCCCATGCCCGTGGTGCACACAGTCCCATGCGGTACTTGCTTGACTGGACTAGGACTAGGACTGGGACTGCTGACTCAGCACGGGTGGACTCCACCATTTGCCCACTTGCCTCGGGCTAAACGTGAGCAACTTCGAAAGGCCACTACTAGGACCTTCCGGAAGGCCGTGGACTTGGCCTTTCGATACTGTAGCAGCTACGACCTTGACCTTTCGGAGGAGCTACAGCTACGACTTCTAGACCTTGCTAAGACTCCTACCCGACAGGTCTACAGATCGAACCCCTACTACCTACGGACCCTACGACAGTCTACCAACTGTTACAAATACACAGGTCACGGGTTCAACTCTCGGGGTCGACACAGATACTGTACACAGGTAAGGTTAAGTCTAGGGATCGAGCCCTGGAACCTGCACTCCCTACTACGACAGGTGAATACGGTTTCACACCTCAGTTAACCTTGAAAAAAAAAAAAAAAAAAAAAAAAAAAACCTCAGTTGCCGACGTATACTCTGCTGGTGCAGGGGACCAGTAGCAACGAACTCGATCAGATGATACACGGAGGTTGTGTGAAAAATGCACTGAAACTTCTGAAAGAAAACCTGAAATTTCCAATGGGAGTTTCCCATCCAGACAGTTCACCCAGAGGGCGCCTTGTAAAGCTTGAGAGTTTCATCAGAGATACCCTTGCCCCGGGTTTGGGCAGCCTAAGATAAACCTTCATCGAATGCTTCAACCTCTCTCTCTCTCTCTCTCTCTGTGTGTGTGTGTGTGTGTGTGTGTGTGTGTGTGTGTGTGTGTGTGTGCAGATTTCTGTTTGCGTTTTCCTTAATGTTGGAGAATACCCTCCCGCCCTGTCACACCTGTCATGAAGGCCTCAGTTCAAATAATGTCCTGCGGTCGCGATAAAGGTGGCTTATTCAAGTGAGCACATAGATGGTGAGGTGGTACAGAGGGCAAGGAGGCTTGTACGAGTGAACACAGAGTCATCACGGAGCTGAGCGATGCTGACTTCCTGTGCATCTGTGTCTTCTCTCTGTCATCCTTTCTCGTTAACCTTAGATCCAGTCTCTCTCGGCAGAACATACCACCCTTCTTTTTCTTCTTTTTCTTTTTTTACTGCATTCAGTTTGCCCTGACCCATGCATGGCTTGAACTCTCTACACTCAGTATCTAGTTGTGATGAACTGCTAGAGTGTTCCCCTGAAGCCAATGCACCCTCACCATGACTGTGATGGGTTTCAACAAGAAAGAAAACAGGGAGAGAAGTCAAGGAGGGAATCATCTGACTGCAGTTCAATGTTTTGTCTGGCTCTTTTGTGAAATGATCCTGTGCAGATCATCAAGAGGCTATGATCGTAGAAATGCTACGACGAGGAAGGGCAGCAAGCGAGGAGTTGCGGAATCTTCTTCGAGTGCTCTTCACTGTGGACTCTTAGTGGATGAGCTGTTCTTCCGTTGAAGCAAAGTAATCTCAGTTGGCATGTGCTGCTACTCGACCTGACCACAAGATTAACGGTGGTTATCAATCCATCATTTTCATCTGACTGCAATCATGTGTTGTGGTTATCCTTGCGGATTAGTTTATAATGTATTTGAATGACTTGCGAATGCGCAGAGAAGGTCTTTGCGACTGTCGAACTGTCTGGCCCCAGGTAATTCAGACTTATTTGATTTCACTCATCAAGTTTATCCGGATTCTTAACTCAGGTCTGTATTTCGATTGTTCATGCGTGTACCAAGTGAGCCAGGCCCGTTGGTGTCGCTGCGATTGTGAATGTATATATAATTACTAAATTTGTTATGATTCTGGTCGTCTGTTGTCTGAAGACCAACACTCACTCACATAGACTCCCAGGTATGCCCATACATACACAGAAGGAAGGGGAGAGGATAGGAGTATCACACCGCACAGGGAGAGATAAACACAGCGGAAGACTTAACCATGCGATATGACAGGGTACACTGAAAGTGCAATTCACTCCACTCAATCCTCACAACCAGTCATAAAGGAAAGCCGAGTATATCACATCCAAGAAACAATGAAATGATGATAGTCTGAACCCTGTATCAACACTGTTTATTAAACTCAGAGTTTCGAATTGTCAGGATAACCTCAGAACTATGATGCACTGCTCAGAAATGAGCAGCACTTCACTCCCCAATCCTGATGAACCGCTATAACTGGCCCTGAGTACCTGAAACATCAAGCGCCACCCAGATACAGCCTCCAGAGGGAAGCACCACCCTGAAACAGGCCTCTGAGGCCAAGCGCCACTCAGAGGATGAAGAAGAAGACCAGCGCCACAGTATCTGATGATGACGAAGTGTCGGAAGACTTCCCGGGTGGAAGTCTGCAGCAGCGCCACCACTCCTGACAAGGTGATCTCTGAGGAAGAAGCTGCAGCTATGGCTGCAGCGCAACAATGTAACCCTAGTCCAGAGGAGGGTCCAGCAGGGCACCAACTTCTCTTGCCTCCAGCAGACCTCGAATAGCCCAGAAATCTGTACAGCGCCTCGTGCTGACAGAGTACAACGCAGGTCCCAGCTATGGCCGGCGCTCCGAAGGTCTGGCTATGTCTCTCTCCCTCAACGCTGAGCCGGCACCACTCCCAGTTCACGCGTTGCACAGCAGCGATGTACTCGGTACCAACTGCCAAAAGCCATGAACCGATGTGCCGAACCTATCTATAGTCTACTCTAGCCTAGACTCGACCTAGACCGGACTGACTGACCGACCGGTACTCTAGGGCCTCTCCCAGCCCGGCTATAGGTTATAGGACTGTCTATCAGCTTAGGTCCTTAGGGCCTGTCTGTCCTAGCGGTACCCCGGGCTTGCTATTCGCAGTTAGGGTAGCTGTAGAATTCTAGTTCGTATGGGCCTATATTTTCCCAAATTTGCAGATATGTCCCTAACGAATTTCCTTACAGGCAGGTCTCTCGGTTAACCCTCAGCCAAACACAATTACAAATCTAACTTACAGATGGTACAGCCTCGACGAGAGAGAGGCTACACACGACCAGAAACCAGCAAGTCATTGCAGACCTACCCTCCCCTGGAGCGAGGACCTCCGAGCTAGGGGCGTAGGCGTGCAGAGCGTCGAAGGGGTTCTCCCTTTTGTGCTGCCTCATATCTGAGGACAACAAACCTAGCTGTTTTCAGAAGCTCCTTGCGAGTAAACCAGCGATCTTCAGTGTGCGGCTGGTAACAAAACTTCCAAGGTATTCTTTATCTGGTCCTGTACCTGACTCATTCTCAATGGACTCCACGTCGTATCCCTTGCCAGGGATCGGAGGACCAAATTGAGGAGGCCTGTCTGGAAATGCATCAGCTGATGTGAATGGTAACAACTTAGATGCATGAAAGACAGGGTAGGTTTGTGGATGCAAAGGGACGTCCACTGTATAGGATGGTCCAAAAGGATCAGCTCCCACTGTATCTAAGACCTGCCATGGACCCGTGTAGCGTGGCAACAACTTTGGCGAAATGTCCTCTTCTCGTGACAACTCAGAACTGAGTACCCACACGCAGTCACCTGTGCGAATAGTATAAGGACGTCGGTGCCGATTAGCCTACTGAATCATAACCTTCTGGGCTTTGAGCAGGTTGGCACGGGCGAGCTCTATATCCAAACGGTAACGTCTGGTGAACTCTGCAGTTCCTGGCGTCAATGTTGGGGTAGCCTTATCGATGATGTCATCAAGAGGCTGTTGCGGCTCACGACCCCAGTGTAACCGGTAGGGTGTGAAACCAGTAGAGGAGTGTACAAAAGTGTTATACACAAGCTGTGCACGACTCAAGTGGAGATCCCAATCTTGTTGATCTGGATTGATCACAGGACGCAGCAACTGAAATAGAATTTGGGTTATCACTTCAGCCTGACCATTGGGTTTAGGATGACGACGAGATGTCATATCCAGTTTAGAATAAAGGTAATCCCTGTAGTAGGATTGCCATTCATTGCTGCAAAATCTAGGATATCGATCACTGACAATGGAGGTGGGTGGTCCATGATGTGTAACCCATTGTCAACAAAAGTTGCCTGAACAGCAGGCACATGTGCTTCAGCTGGTAAGGGGATGAACTCTGCATATTTGGAGAACCGATCCACACATACCATAACCTGACGCATGCCACAAGGCGTGGTCTTACCCAAATCAGTAAAGTCAATAGACACTGACTGTGCAGGAGCATCAGGGATGGGTAGTGGTTTGAGTAGGCCATGGGGAGGTCGGCATACCACCTTATTTATCTGGCATAACTCACAGGTTTCTACGTAGTGCAACATGTCACTCCTCATCTCCTTCTAGAAGAAGCGTTGTGACAGTGTTGCATACGATTTGAGGCTCCAAAGTGGCCACGAGCATCATGACACTCTGACATCAGAAGTGTCCTCAACTTGCAGTCCTGGGGAATGCATAGGTGTTCCTCACCTCTGCTGCATGTTTACAACAGATTTGAAACCAGAGTATATCATGGTTAAGAGGCAGGATCATCCTGAAGATTCCTCACTATAGGCTCAAAAATCGCATCCTGGGGCAGCAAACGAGTAATGATCTGACGAGTCTTCTCTCCAAAAGAGTGAGTGAAGGAGATCAGAAAGAGAGCGTCAGGCCTACGAGAAAGGGCGTCTGCTACTCGATTGTGGAAGCCCTTCTTGTGTCTCAGTTCAAAGTCAAACATGTCAATGAACTGAATGTAGCAAGCAAGTTTGTCATTCAATTCTCCCTGGGACTTCATCCACTGAAGGGTGGAGTGATCTGAAAAGATCTTGAAGTGCCTGCCAAGGAGGAAATGTTTCCAATGCTTGAGCGCTGACACAAGAGCATAAAGCTCTTTCTCATAGGTAGAGTCATGCAACTTCTTTGTTTTGATCTTCTTGCTCATGTACTCGACAGGCCGCAAACCATTCCCATCATCCTGTTGAAGTACCACCCCTACACCATACTAACTAACATAAGTGGTAAGCACAAAAGGCAAAGTAGGGTCAGGTAGCTTCAAAACAGGGGCACGAATCAAGGCCTCCTTGAGACGTGTGACACTTCGATGTCCGAAGAAAGGAAGTGTCTTTCTTAGTGAGATCAGTCAGAGGTGCTGCAATGGAGGAGAAGTTCTTGATGAACTTCCTGTAATAGGATGCAAGACCCAAGAAAGATCAGACATCACGAATGTTCACAAGCTTCGGCCAGTCCTGAATAGCAGCAACTTTCGTTGCTTCAGGAGCCAACCCCTCTCCAGAAATGACGTCCCAGATCGATCACAGAGGGAACTCCAAAAAAGAACTTCTCCCTGTTAATCTTATACTGGTTATCACGTAAGGCCTGGAGGACCAGAGCCAGATGCTGCGCATGCTCCTGGACAGACGCATGAAACTGCGAGCACGCATGCAGTAACAACTGCTGGCCGGATGGTACTCATCTGCGAGCAAACAAGGACGATATACCCCATACCGGTCAGGTAGCTCAACCCTAGGGATCCCCCAGTCGATCTTAGGATTGGTGGCACCAAGCCACTGCATAGAGAACACAAGGTCAAAGGGAACATTAGGAAACACATAGAAATTCAGGCGGTGCTTGATTTCTCCCTGCTTGTCAAAGGTCACAGGTAGGCCCTTGTCTCTGGTCCAAGTGCAGCTTGCTGATTGCCTTGGGAGATATGAAGTTGCAAGTAGCCCCACAGTCCAAGAGCCCTTTGATCTTGGCTCCCAGGTTAGAGGGTCGAAGCAGGATGAGTTATGACCTATGCCTTTTCTTTTCCTGCAAGGACGGGGAAAGATCAGCAAGGCACTGAGCATCCTCCTCCTCCCATGTCTCATCCAACTCAGTGTCCTCGTAAGAAAAGGACCCTGAAGACGCAACTCTAAAATTAGAACCAGTGAGAGAATGTGCAATCAGACTCGTTCTCAAACACACTTTTCATGCATGTTAACAGCAACGTAGCATCAAAACTCAGATGTATGGCTTTCAGATACAAGTTCACTCTCAATTGGCTATGGCGACTTCAGCGCCCAAACATCTCACTGTCCACATACACTGGATCACCCTGGATATCCCACACGCATCACTCTAACACTCGAACACACACACACACTCACTACTAACTACAGCTATGGCAGCTGTCGCTGCATCTACCCTATCGCTATGCTAACTCCCTCTCTCTAGCCCACTGCGTCCTCCGGGCTCATCTGCAGACCTCCTTGCACAAGTCGCTGTGGCAGCGCTTCCGCATGGCTCACGCAGGAATGAATGAGTGGCTGGGCGCTGCCTCTTGATTTATACTTCAGAAACTCGTTGGTCTGCCCTTTGCCACCGGCCCTTGGTGCTCACAGTCCCCCTATGGTACTTGTTGGACTGGACTGGGACTCTCTAGACCCTTCTGCTGACTGTAGGCAGTCGTACCGTCGACTCAGTGCAGTTGCACTGAGGTCCTACCTGTTGACCTTGCCACTTGTCTTCGTCTGAAAACGTGGGCCTACCTTAGACTCACCRCTTGACCACTTGCCGACCTTCTAGAAGGACTAMAGCTAGGCCTCTGGACTSTACTTGGRCTCCTACCTTACAGGTCTACAGTTCGAATCTCCCTACAGCCTACAACCTACGGCGACCTACTTACCACTGGCTATCGTGCAGGTCACGGGTTCAACTCCAGGGAACTGTGCATATACTGTACACAGGTAAGCTGAGGTCAAGGGATCGACCCCTGGGATCTGCATCGGCTACTGCCAAAGGTGAAAACTGTTTCAA